CTGAGGTATGAAACAGATCTCCAGCTACTATCTGAATGTAGAGCAGCTCCACATTGCTACTTTGTATCCTTGAAACATTCTGAACGGATATCGCCGTGCCAATTTTCAAGCAGAAACAAGAAAACAAACAAGAAAAAAGGAAGAAACGTGTTTTGTAACATTTTTATAATTGAAATGGCATTGTTACGGTTATTATTTCATGTTTTGAATTGTAAATAAGAAGTATTACTATTTAAAAAAAATGTTTGAAATGTCTCCTTTTATAAAGTATACAGTATATTAATATTTGTTTAGCTGAATTTAAAACAGACAAACAAACAAAAAAAAACCCAAAAGTTTTATGTATGAGATTTGAATAAAAATTTGTTAATGTTAAAATAATATGAGTGTTGATTCATTTCACTTCTGTCTTTATCTAATTTCTGGGTGTTTCAATGGCAGGATTCTTATTCATCCTGCAACTCATCTTGATACAATGCAGTCAATTTGATATAGTAGTTTTAGTAATATTTAATAAGATAAATCTTTTCAAACTAAATCTGTGCCTTATGCCAAATAATGCTGCTAATAATGTGACATCCTGTTCTAATATTGTCCTTTAGTATCCATAAGTGTTAATGATTTTAAGGGAGTGCTCTTTTTCCTTTAGTTCTCTTTTTAATGGGTAGCATTAGAGTTTTAATTCACTTTCTTATTATTCTCTGATATGCTGGTGTATTTTTGCCCTGGTCTGATACATTTTTTGTTGTTTTAAGCTTTTTGACAGGTATTATTTGCACAGTTTTGCTCCTATATGTTGACTTTATTACATTTGTAGCCAATTTAAACACAAGATTATTTTTCACTTTATTTTCTTTTCAAACTTGATCATATTTCATGGACAGTTAAGCTCAAAATGAAACTCATTCTTCTTAATGAATGAGTTTTATTATATATTTTGGGAATCTAAGTTGATTTTAAGAGTTATTTTATTGGCTTTCTGTTCTGCGTTTGGCAAATTAGGCTTGCAAAAGATTTTCCCTCAGTTTCGTTTCCGTTCCCTTCCTTCAGTATTTGATTCTAAATAAGTGAGGAAAAGCAGAAAGTTGTGTTGAAGTGATTTTGTCGCCGCGAGCGGAAGTTGAGGCTTCACTGAAAGTGAAATGACATAAAGCGTTCCCTTGCACCCCCACAGAGAACAGTTTCCATGGGATCTAATGTCAGTTTCTTCCCCCTGCAATTGTTGGGTATAATTACTGACCATGCACAGAGAAAGAAAAGAAGAGCAGGTGTTTACTTATTGATGCTAAGCCTGAGGTTAGGACACTGCACATAGAAAGAGGTTAAGTGGCCCTGATCATAATGCTGTTGATAACAGGCAGCCTTGGGGCTCTGGCCTCAGTTTCTATTGCTGTCTGATAAGACAGCTGACACATTTATATCTCCGCCTCCTCACCCTCAGTCTAATGAACATCTGAGATGAAGCAGATAGAGTTGCATCGATCTCCTTTGACACATCTTCTTTACAAACCATTGTCCTTCTAGTCTCATCCCTCCTGCCTCCTGAGAGCCCTGCAGCCTATTTTGTAAGCCTAAAATTGTGGGTTGGTTGGGTTTCTCTCCTCCACAGACTGGTTTGTTGGCATCTGTCTTCCTCATGGTAGCCTGAACTGTGATGGGTTCATTTGCTACAGTCATTTATAATTTTAGTTTCTCTAGTATGATGTCAAAATATGGTGAAGTCTGCTCTGCATGGATTACTTCAGAATTGTTCACAGGACTCAAATGTTTTTTTTGTTTTTTTTTATTTGTTACAATACAACCGCAAACTTTTAAAATATTTTCTTGAGATTTTAAAGCCTAATGACTTCAAAAATAGCGCTGTTTAGCAAAGGCAAAACCCTGCATTTCTTATCTAGATTTTAAAACAAAACTGGTTCTTTAACATTTTGAGACGAACATATGAAGAGACATTGAGAGTTTGGATTGAGAGCCCCAGACTGCAGACCGCTGTCATAGATGAACACAAAGTAGAGAATAATTGGGAAATAACTGGAAATGATGAATGATTTTCAATTTTCTTTAAAAAAAACAAACAATTCTATTAATAATAAAAAATTTCTTCCAGGACTTTCCTGTGTTTAGCTCCATTCATCTCTGACCAGATCAGACTCTGACCAGATTCCCTGGTGAAGGAAAATATCCTCACTGCATTATGATGTGTCTTTGGTTGTCATGACCCTGAAATTATAATTCATTAGGTGACTTCTTCATTATAGTTTCAATTAATGGATAATGGCCACCCAATAAATTGCAATTTATTAGGTGATTTCACAGGGAGTTTGGATGGGTGTGATGCATGCATTCACTCAAAACATGTTTCTTATTTTTATTTGCATTTTTAAATCTTTGAAAAATTGTGTCCTTCTGCTTCTGCCTATAATAGAGGTGCCTCCTGAAATGCACTATTTGATGATAAACAAAACAAACAAGCATCGTAACCAATTTGAAGAGCAGCAATCTCTTTGGATTCATATCCGTCTCCAATAGTGCCACTCCAGACTTTTTCTTTTCTATTGTGGCCAGAACAAGTCATTAAAAAATTTAGGGTGGCATAACTAACATAAAAAAATAATTAGTAGGTTTTTACTTGTATGTATTGACAGAAGATATTTGTATGTTTTTGAGCTGAACATGATTCTCTGTGGGGGTCCAGTGGGACGCTCAGCACCTTTTTCAGTGCCCCCCTCCTGGGGGCGCCACTGGTCTCCAATTAAAGCTATTGTGAAGAGCGCATTTCATTTCCGACCCCAAGCTTGGCTTTCATGAAACCAGACTCCTGGGCTCATAAATAAAAGATGCCCTGCGCGGTGCTGGCTGATCACCGGAGCTCTTTCGGCTGTTTAAGTGGTGAAAGGCGACATAATCTGCCCACATTAAGATCTGGACTGAGATTGAGGCGCGCACACAGAGAGAGGCCCTGGAGAGACGCTCATCTGGAGGAGCAACATAAGTCTCCTGGCGGCAGCATGATGAACCCGCGGCAACACGGCGAGCCCTTCCTGCACGACCCTCCTCCGGTCTTCGGGAAGCCCTGGTACTGGCAGCGCAGCAGCAGCACCATGGAGAGCAGCCGCAGCCTGGCGCAGGTCATCATGGAGATGCGCGACGAAATCAAGAAGCTGGAGGCGGAGAACCGAGAGCTACGGGCGGACAGCGGTGGTCAGCAGTCAGGGACGGCAGGAGAAAGCAGCGCTGGATCGGAGCAACCCGCGACACTGGAAAACCCTTATGGGAACCTGAGACGGAACGCGTCTGCGCCAGTCCTGGAGGGACAGTACAAAGGCAAGAGCAAGTGAAACTCGCATAACACTGTATTTTTTAATATCTTTAAGCTAATAATAATAATAATAATAATAATAATAATTAGTAGTAGTAGTAACTATTATAAATAATAATGATAATGGGGTTAGGCTTGATGTGTGGGTACTTATTATTGTTATTATATTATTTTTGGGTCCGACATTGACTTATTTAACACAGCAAGTATTTTTTTTTCTTAAGGAAAATTCACAAAAGTAAATAAATACAAAATGAATTTAGGCCTGGACATGAACATGATTTGATCTAATCCGTCACTCTAAACTGCAGTGGTTGATCTCCTGATGAAGGAGAAACTTCAAGTCGTAAGTCTTTTGCAGCGCAACAGGTTTCCTTCAGGGATGCCCCATATTTATCTCCATCCCTGATCCCATCAATTCTTCCTACAGAATACAAGCATTCATATATTGAATATATAGTGAATTCTTCCTCCTATATTATCTAGGCCACCTTGGATTATTTTTTAACTACCACTCGACTTTATCAGAGCATTTTTGTTAATTTTTTTACTGAAGATGCATTTTTCTTATCAAGTTAGTCATGTTTACAATATTCATGACTAAAGAATATCAGTCATAAATAATTTTGTAATAAAATAAAATGATTGTTTTCTTACTAAATAACTAATGATGTGTGAAATGAAAAGCTGGATACATTTTAAAAGGTTTAGTTCCACTCGTGTGTTTTTCCTAGAAAACGCTGCCATGACTGTGCGAAGGTACTCCACGAGCTCCAGCCTCTCCGGGCTGAGAGTGAGGGAGGGAAGAATCGACAAGAACAGGCAGAGTGACTCAGGATGGGACAGACTTCATGAAGAAATCCAGCATGACAGCGATGCGTCTGGAGAAGCAGAGAAAGCCATCAGCCGCCACTCATTGCAGGAGTACGTCCATAAAAACAGGTACAAAGACATTCTTTGAGGGGTGGCGTTAAATAGCTGACCTGTTCTGACTGAGGTGAAATAATTCCTATCATTTGGTTTTCCCTTCAGGGCCAAGGTAAAAACTGTGACCTTCCTTCTACCCGTTGATGACATTTACACCAGTCGACCTGTTCTGACCAAACACCAAGAGGAGCCCAAAATCACCGGTCTGGCTTCCATAGCCGAGACAGATTCCTGAGGAAAAGATGTTGAAAGACTTTGGACATATTATTGGAACAGGTTGAAGATCTAAACTGGGACTTTGCATCCTCATCTGGGTTTTCTTCTTCCTTCCTAACTAGGTCAATCTAGATCAGGCTCTCAATGAGTAAGCAAGCAGACCGATTTTTATCACACCTGACCAAGAAACTGGAGTCTCTGATTACAGGTGCTCTTTTCATTTGGCCACGGCAATCTATGCCTGGTCAACAGGGATGAGACGCGAGCCTCTCTGAACAGAGGATCAGGTATCTGGACTCCTCTCCCGGTCCGGGCTGTGGTTTCAGGGTGACACATGTGGCAGCCTTTATCAGACTCAGCTGTGGTCGCTGACTCAGTCTGTGTGAGCTCCGTCACAGTCATTATTTATTCATCTCTTGTTCTCTTTACAAGGCACACTGAAATGCATATCCACAACCCCAAGTCAAACCGGCATCCTCGAGAGGATTTTACTTGTAACCCGTGCGAAATGGGAATTAAAGGCATCACCAACAGCATGTGTCCGTATTCAGGTTTATTTAGCAACATTACCCGATGTCTCACAATCACATTCTCCTCATTAAAATCAAAAAATAACACATGCAACATCAGTTTTTACCGCCTGATAAGCAGCAATGTGGTTTATGTTATTATGTAGTAAACTTTTGCATGCACAAGATCTTTTGGTGTCCTCTTGTGAACTCTTTCACAGCAATGAGATAAAACATCCATTAACATGTTTTAATTTTTATGGAATGCACCCACCGAGTTAATTGTTAAAACGAAACACAATCAAAATTAACACTGGTACGAAAGTAAACATTTTCCCAAGTGGAAATGGTTACTTTTCAGGATGTCCAGTGTGTGAATGAGTTACAAGTAAAGCTGTACTGTCAAACTCGAAAGCAGAATAAGCAATCCAGAGTCTTGTATGGTGTACAGTGTTGCACCTGTTAAAGACCAGTTTACAGCTTCTTCTGGACTGAGTAAATGGAGAAAATGTACTCAGTCCAGAACATTTGCTCCAAAGTTCAGAACATCAATGAAAATTTAGCACATTTTGCGCTTTGAAACAAATTTTGGTGAATTTAAATACGCTGACATAGATAATTGCGTAATGAAAGAAAACTTAGACATGATTTCAGGATATCTTACAAAAAAAATATTCAAATGTGTGGCGTTTTTCTGTATCCAGCCCCTTTTAATCTGAAACATAAATTAATTCAAGTTAAAAGATTTAAACTTACAGCAGCGCAAATGGAAACACGGTTTTCATTTCCTTCAGGTTCTTCTCTGTACTGTGTTGTACTAATTATTGTTTCTGGTCTATTGCATAATAACTGATCATAAAATTATGACAAGATGGTAAAATGTGAAGAAAATCCAAGTGGAATGCTTTTGTTAAGGACTACAGGCTTAAAAGAGAGTATCACAAGTCTTCCACAGCTGGACGCCAAGTTTTAAAAAAAGTTAGATAGTGATGGTGATAGTTTTTATTTAATATGTGAGAACGATATGTCCAGCTCTTCTTTATAGGTTTTGGGCAATTATGAATTTAATTGAAGACAAAAACAATGGTATTTTGATATCTGAACCTATGTATATATAAATATATATGTTATACAATCTTATACCCTGTTTAAAGAAAATAAAAAATAAAATTGATGAAAAAAAATCAAATCAAAGCACTGGTTTGCTTCACCCTTGTACTTCAAAAATCACACCACTCTGACCTCTGCTGGTCAGAGTGTGGAAAGCTGAAGGTTCTTAATGGAAATATTTGATTTCTGATTCAATAAAACTCTACATTTTAAAAAGAAGAACCTGATCACGGCACAAACTGAGGAATGTGATTTAAAAATCATAAATTATTTGGTAACAGGCAACTTTCATGATATCCTATATGAATGGCAGCCACCTCCGACACTAAACTGCAGGCTACTTGAATATCTTGGCCTTTCCTTGTTGGACTTTTGACTTTAGTCGATGTCCTTGTTCTATTCCTAAATAAGAACTCAGAAAATCTGAGTGCTGAGGTACCAATAATCTTATAAAGAAGATGAAAGCAGTGAATCTTCTGGTTGTGTGTAGTGGGTTTTCAGCACCAGGCAAATTCAGGTTAAGAGCTGATAGTCAGAGGTAGAAGAATAGCACCAAAAACAATAAACAGATTATGTTATAAATATATTGTAGCGAGTTTCAGATCTGTAAAGAGTTTTGCAGAGCTTTCATTTCCTTCAGAAGCGTCAGGTTCTTTTTGTTTCTCTCAACTAGTTGAGCTTTAGTGGATGGTACATAGCGCCTTCTGGTGGCAAGTCTTTCTTCCGTGAAGCTCTTCCCAGACTTCACCTGCTTTCTCAACTTCTTTAACTGGAGCACAAACAAAGACACTCACACACAGATTTTGTCACACTACGAATGTAAAATGAGAATTATTGCGAAGGCCCACCTGTGATTTATGCTTGCAGAGCTTACTGATCTGTTCTTCTTTACTCTCCATTCTCAGCAGTAGCCTCGCCTGCTCACTCTGAAGCGCTTCCCTTTCCTCTTCAGAGATGCTCTTCTCCGTTTGCCTCAACAACTCAGTGTGCTCCCTGTATGCGACGGGGATGCGCCTTAACATTTAACCAAACGGAACTCCAATATTGAGTACATTCACAAGCTTGCTCACAAACTCATGAGGCACAGCTCCTCCTGTAGGGCTTGCAGGAGATCCGATAGTTCGTCTCCGCAAGTGGACGACGAGGTGGAGGAAGCGTCTGACTGGCTGCTCGTTTCCGAGAGATCTGCGTTGCGAGACAGGACGCGCCTGTTGCAGAGATGAGGCTGGTGCCGTTTCAGGAGGGACAAGACTGCCTGAACGTTGGCTCTGACTGAGTGGCTGCAGGCGACCGACTACAAAACAATAGAGATTTAAAGATAAACACTGAGGGGGAGAGTGAGGAGGACTTATCATCGTGTTCCAAAAGGCACAACCAGAAGTGTATGAAGTGCAAATGGTACCGTTCCAGTGACAAATGGTATGTCTCTTAGGCTCAGTCTGTAGTGAGTTTCTGGGGATTTTGGAGAAGGTTGCTGGGGAAGAAAAATTGAACAATGACTTAGCAAACAAGAGGGGAAATACGATAGAAATTATGACAACAGCTCAACATATGTTTTAAAGCTGCAGCATCTAATTTTTATTAAAAAAGATGCTTTTTACATATTTGTTACAACTGTTGTAACAGTATTATATGAGACAGACAGTCTGTAGAAAAAAAAGAGCTCCTCTTTTTTCCCTCAGTGCCAACTACAGAAACAACTAATCAGAGCGAGGAGGTGGGTCTTAGCGCTGTTACGCATGCCTGTGTACATGCTGCTCACACTCCCCTCCCCGCTACTCTACAGCGTCTTCCTGCTAGCAGAGTGTAAAGCTTAGCCCACCGATGACAGCAGATAAACAATATAAATGCAACGGTAGGTTGTTTATCTGCCATTATCACTTTGAACAGTGCGTACATCAGCTTGAATTGACAACAGTTAGATCTTCCTCCAGGTTTTTGACAGTGCATTTCTGCAGATGTCAATAGTAGCACTAGGAGGCAGCAAAGGAGCTGGATTTTTTTTGCCCACAGATTATCTGTCTCATGTCACGACATAGTGACAATTTTAACAGATATGTAAAAAACATGTTTTATGCAAGCTGCATACTGCAAGTTTAATAACTTTGAATTGAATGAGTCTATGTGTGAGACTGTAGTGCAACATATAACATGGATAAATTGTGGTGAAGTGTGTTTTTAAATGTCTGTTTGGAAAGCTTGGAAATTACAACATTTAAACAAAAAAAAAAAATCTACAATGCTGCCATTAAAAACTTTTTCATTGAATTGTTTAAATAACAAATGTTACCAAAAGGAGTTTCTTTCTTTTTTTGTTTAGAAACAAATTTTCCATTTTTTGCATGCACCTTTTATGTATGTAATACATGTACAAAGTGCCACCTCCAGCAAGACTAAAAAAAACAAAAACAAAAACATGTATTTAAACAACAAAGTGTTTAATATTTTCAATGCTATTAACATTACAGTTGGTCTGAATGAGATGCACTCAGTTCCCTTATGAGTGCATCTCCAAAGAACACAATAATCTGTTCCTATAAAGCTAATTACTTAAAATGCAATAAAAAAGACTAATCTTTCCATGTATTTCACAAGTATATGGTTTTCTTTTTATTTCACAGCACTGGATTAATTATGAGAATAATTGCCCTCTTGAAATGCAAACATGACAAACACTGTGAGCCATCCATTAGAGGTCTTTACCTTCGGGCTGGGTTTCTTCTCTTTGGGTTGTCTGAAGGATAAACGTGGAGAAACGGACCGCAGCAACATTCTGTTGGCTTCCAGACCTGTCTGTAACTGAAGGTTGCAAACAAAAAGAAAGCATGAAAATAACAGTCTCTTGGCTTATCAAGCCTAGCAAATATATATATATATATATATATATATATATATATATATATATATATATATATATATATATATATATATATATATATATACACTCCTGATCAAAATCTTAAGACCAGTCAAAAAATTGCAAGAATTTGCATTTAGCATTATTGGATCTTAAGAAGGTTCTAAGTAGAGCTTCACAATGTTAAAAGAAGAAATCAGCATAAGAGACAAAAACATTTGAGCGGGGAATTAATTGAAAACTGCATTTATACTCAAACATAATTTTTTCAGCTGATCAAAAGTTTAAGACCATAGCTCAAAAAACCTCCAAAACCCCCAAAACAGAAATCAAAGTGCCAAAAAGGACTCAGTAATGAATAGCTCCACCATTCTTGTTGATGACGTCAAACAATCGTTTAGGCATGCTTGATGCCAGTGTTTCCAGGCTAGTGGGAACATTGCTCCAAGTGTTGAAAATGGCTTCACGAAGGGCATCCACTGTCTGGAACTGATGTCCATTTTTTCGTAAACTTCCCTTGCCATCCATCCCCAAATGTTCTCAATTGGGTTTAGATCCGGGGAACATGCAGGATGGTCCAAAAGAGTGATGTTATTCTCTTGGAAGAACTGCTTTGTCAGGCGGGCATTGTGAACTGCAGCATTGTCTTGTTGAAAAACCCAATCATTACACAGACGAGGGCCCTCAGTCATGAGGGATGCCTGCTGCAACATCTCCACATAGCCAGCTGCTGTTTGACGCCTCTGCACAACCTGAAGCTCCATTGTTCCATTAAGGAAAACGCACCCCAAATCATGATGGCGCCCCCACCACTGTGCCGTGTAGAAAACATCTCAGGGATCTCCCTGTCATGCCAGTAACGTTGGAAGCCATCAGGATCATCAAGCCAAAACTTTTTCTCATCAGAGAAGACAACTTTTCTTCCACCTTTCAATGTCCCATGTTTGGTGCACCCTTGCAAAGTCCAAACGGGCAATTCTGTGGCGTTGAACAAGACGTGGCCTTTGAAGACGTTTTTTGTTTCTGAAGCCCTTCCCTTGCAGATGCCGTCTGATGGTTATCGGGCTGCAGTCAGCACCAGTAATGGCTTTAATTTGGGTAGAGGATCGTCCCTTGTCTTGACGGACAGCCAATCGGATCCTGCGGTTCAGAGCTGGTGAAATTTTTTTGGGTCTACCGCTTGACTTTTTTGTTCCATAACCCTCAGGATCATTTAAAAAATGCAAAATGACTGTCTTACTGCGTCCAACCTCAGCAGCAATGGCACGTTGTGAGAGGCCTTGCTTATGCAGCTCAACAATCCTGCCACGTTCAAAGTCAGTGAACTTTTTTGCTTTTGCCATCTGGAGGTCTTGACAGTGTAAAGACTTCACAGAACATGACATGGAATCCAGATTTTTGCACAGCTTTTGGCTTTTAAAGACTATGGTCTTAAACTTTTGATCAGCTGAAAAAATCATGTTGAGTGTAAATGCAGTTTTCAGAAAATTCCCTGCTCAAATGTTTTTGTCTCTTGCACTAATATTTTCTTTTAACATTGTGAAGCTCTACTTAGAATCTTCTTAAGATTCAATAGTGCAAAATGCAAATTCTTGCAATTTTTTGACTGGTCTTAAGATTTTGATCAGGAGTATATATATATATTATATATATATATATATATATATATATATATATATTATATATATATATATATGTATATATATATATATATATATATATATATATATATATATATATATATATATATATAGCTGACTGGATAGCTCAATACATAAGGCATCAGTATATCACCCGAGAGGGCAGGGTTCGAATCCATAGGATATATATATAGCTGACTGGATAGCTCAATACATAAGGCATCAGTATATCACCCGAGAGGGCAGGGTTCGAATCCAGTCTGGGTCCTTAGGCAAGACCCTTCAAGCTACTGCCTACCTCATACCATGAGAGATACTAAGTTGCATAACATGCCGGCTCAGACGTCGCCCGGCCAAACAAGGTCTGCGTCAGGTGTTGGGGAACCAGAGCACCTTGATGACAAATGGGCTACTGGAACAAGACGGAAATGGGCGAGAGATGAAAATGTGGATCTGTTGGAATGCTACTACTCAAGTAACCCTAGTCAGAGGGGTTACATGCAAAGACTGGGGAAGGAATGGTTACTTCGACATCCCCAGTCAACACTAAGCGCTAAACAAACTAGTAGCTCAGTGTTCCAACATCCGCAAACGGCAACTGCTATCACAACTTGAGATTGACGAGATACAACACAAATGCTACGGCAAAAGGGAGGAACCCGGATGTCAGGACTGTGGGGACTTAACTACAAGTCCCCACCCAGTGAGGGGATACACGGCCCCAATGAGCGAAACAGAGCGAAACGAGACAGCTGCTGACCTGAGAGAGAGAATCATGACCCGAATGACAACCAGCCAATTACAACGGCTGAGTGAAGTACCATCTGAAAGTCTCATTGAGAATGTGAATGCAGCATTGAGAACGATCCCTACCAACACCATAACAGAAACCAATGAGCTGATCTACAACTACTTGGCTATAAGAGCAACCATGAGACCCAATACCCACCATGGAAAAGACGGTTAGAGGCTAAAATCAAGGTAACAAGGAGGGAAGTGAGCCAACTGTCAGAGCTCCACAAGGGTGCAATGAAAAGACCAGTACCCAGAAAGTACAGGCAGATGCCCATACCTGAAGCACTCGAGACTGCCAAACAGAGGCTCCAAGCCTTGTCCAGCCGCCTAAAGAGAATGAATCCAGAAGGATTAACCGGCTCTTCTCCACTCAACCAGCTAAGGTGTACTCTCAATGGCAGGGTAACAATAACAACAGAGCAGACCCACCAAGGCTGGAGACGGAACATACTGGAAAGGCATATGGGAAAGGGAGGCGTCCCCAACAGCATGCACAGTGGCTGATCTCTCTACGAGAGGACCACAGCAACCTCCCTGAGCAAGCCCCGGTAACCATCACTGTGACAGATGTCCAAGAAAGAGTCTCAGGTATGAAAAACTGGACAGCACCAGGGCCTGACATGATCCATGCCTACTGGCTAAAGAAACTCACTGCTCTCCATGAGCGAATGGCAGCCCAAATGAACCAGCTGCTACAAAGTGGATGGTTAACTGAAGGGCGGACAATCCTAATCCAGAAGGATCCATCAAAGGGTCCAGTCCCACCCAACTACCGACCAATAACCTGCCTCTCCACAACCTGGAAGCTCATGTCAGGCATCATAGCGGCCAAGATAAGCAAACACATGGATAAACACATGAGCACGGCACAGAAGGGTATCGGTGTAAATAGCAGAGGAGCCAAACACCAACTCCTCGTAGACCGCACAGTTGCCCGAGACTGCAAAACCCGACACACCAACCTGTGCATGGCTTGGATTGATTACAAGAAAGCCTATGACTCAATGCCGCATACTTGGATCATTGAATGCTTAGAGATGTATAACATCAACAGGACTCTGAGAGCCTTCATTGCAAACTCGATGAGGCTGTGGAAAACCACCCTTGAAGCCAACTGCAAACCACTTGCACAAGTGTCCATCAAATGTGGCATATACCAAGGAGATGCTCTGTCCCCGCTACTGTTCTGCATAGGCCTGAACCCCCTCAGCCAAGTTATCAACAAGACTGGCTACGGATACAGACTCAAAAATGGGGCCAATATCAGTCACCTACTCTACATGGATGACATCAAGCTGTACGCCAAGTGTGAGCGAGACATCGACTCACTGATCCACACCACCAGGATCTACAGCACTGAATTGGGATGTCATTCGGACTAGAGAAATGTGGTCGGCTGGTCACAAAGAGGGGGAAGGTCATCCACACAGAAGGGGTCTCACTCCCAGAAGGAACAATAGCAGACATAGAGGACAGTTACAAGTACCTAGGTATACCACAACAAATGGCAACCTCGATGAGGTCACAAGGAAAGGAGCCACAGCTAAATACCTCCAACGAATAAGGCAAGTCCTGAGAAGCCAGCTCAATGGCAAGAACAAAATCCGTGCGATAAACAGCTATGCCTTGCCAGTAATCAGATACCCTGCTGGAATAATTAGCTGGCCAAAGGAGGAGATAAAAGCCACAGATATTAAGACCAGAAAGCTACTAACAATGCATGGAGGGTTCCATCCCAAATCCAGCACCCTGAGACTGTACACGAGCCGCAAGGAGGGAAGCAGAGGACTAGTGTGTGAGAACCACTGTCCAGGACGAAACAACTAAGATCCATAAATACATCAGGGACAAAGCCTCAACAGACAATGTGCTCAGTGAATGTCTCAGACAACAGGGAACGGAGGTTGAGGTGCCAGAGATACCATCATGGGAGGACAAACCCCTACATGGGATGTACCACCAGCAAATAACCCAAGTGGCTGATATAAGTAAATCCTACCAATGGCTGGAAAAAGCTGGACTCAAGGACAGCACAGAGGCCCTCATCCTGGCCGCCCAGGAACAGGCCCTAAAACCAGAGCAATAGAGGCCCAGATCTACCACACCAGACAAGACCCAAGGTGTAGGTTGTGCAAGGAGGCCCCTGAGACAGTCCAGCACATCACAGCAGGGTGCAAGATACTGGCAGGGAAAGCGTACATGGAACGACATAACCAAGTGGCAGGCATAGTGTACAGAAACATCTGTGCAGAATATGGACTGGAAACCCCGAGATCAAAGTGGGAAACACCCCCAAAGGTGGTGGAGAACGCCAGAGCTAAGATCCTGTGGGACTTCCAGATCCAGACAGACAAAATGGTAATGGCGAACCAACCAGACATTGTCGTAGTGGATAAACATCAGAGGAAAGCCGTTGTGGTAGATGTAGCAATACCAAGTGATTGCAACATCAGGAAAAAGGAGCACGAGAAACTGGAGAAATACCAGGGCCTCAGGGAAGAACTGGAGAGGGCCTGGAAGGTGAAGACCACAGTGGTGCCTGTGGTCATCGGGGCCCTCGGGGCAGTAACCCAAACTGGAGCAGTGGCTACAACAGATCCCAGGAACAACATCAGACATCTCAGTCCAGAAATGTGCAGTCCTTGGCACAGCCAAGATACTGCGCAGAACCCTCAAGCTCCCAGGCCTCTGGTAGAGGACCGAGCTCAGAGGATAAGAACCACCCGCGGTGGGTGAGAAGGGAATTTTTTTTTTTTTTTTTTTATATATATATATATATATATATATAGAGGGCCTGGAAGGTGAAGACCACAGTGGTGCCTGTGGTGCCTGTGGTCATCGGGGCCCTCGGGGCAGTAACCAAACTGGAGTAAGCAAACTGGAGCAGTGGCTACAACAGATCCCAGGAACAACATCAGACATCTCAGTCCAGAAATGTGCAGTCCTTGGCACAGCCAAAATACTGCGCAGGACCCTCAAGCTCCCAGGCCTCTGGTAGAGGACCCGAGCTCAGCGGATAAGAACCCCGCGGTGGATGAGAAGGGAATTTTTTTTATATATATATATATATATATATACAAATTCAAAAATAATAAGAAGACAAAGTCTTCCTACCTGATTGGCTTTATCCAGAATGAGCATTCTCTGGTGCTCCTCTTCTTGTATCTTTCTTTCCAAGGCAGAGATCTTCATCTGAAATCAACGACAATCATCATCATCACTGTGCTGCTGATAATGACAGTACTGCAATAATAATATGACAACAATATATGCAATAAATTCTATGTATGGTTACTATCTGTAAATATAACACTCCAAAAACCATTTCTGTGAGATTGACTTAAAATTCGGTTGGTTTGTTGATATTTAGTTGTCTTCTGAACACTTCCGTGGCCATAGATACCTAAAAGTACAGCTTTCCAGTTAGATCGGGGGCAATGCATAAGCTCAAAGTGTCACTGACATCATAAAACCACTTACATGACTGAAAAAGATGGAGCTATTGTGCGTTCATTCTGTGTAAAAAACAAACAAAAAAAAAAAACACATAGCTTTTCATAAACATTAGTGTGGCAGGTTTTATAAGTGGGTCAAACAACGGTTCCATCTTGTGACGTAATCAGGGTAAGTCAAGTAATAAACAACTAAGGGTAAGTACAGGTGTCACCAAGAAGCAGAGGAATTGTGAGCGATGTATTTGGAGGAAGGTCGGAGGAGGACATCTGTCGCCTCCAAATCATGGACTGGTAATAAACAGATCTATGCATGTGGTAATTATTCATCTTTGATTCTGGTTTATTCCAAATGAGCCAGTTTTATGACTGTTATTGCAAGATATCAGAAGCGATTATATTCTCCACCACCGTCATCATCACCACAGATTTCCCTTTGGGGCCAATAAAGCATCTCTGAATTATTTGAACACTATTCCTTCTTATGATGCTGAAAATGGTTAATGGCTACAATTTGCTTTAAAAAAAACCCAACAAAAAACATGTTGGTGCCTTGTACGTACCTCCGCATATTGCTGTGTGCGAGTCAGCTTGAGATATTCCTGCTCGAGTTTTTCCAGCTTTTCCAACTGAGCATGGTCGCTCAGTCCATCAGGCTGGTGACTACTTATACCAGGTTTCTCTATTGAAGCCTACGAAGGCAACAAACAGCTTTGTTTGCGTTACAGTGTTTTGTGCATTTTAAAGCGTGAGGTGTTACCCAACTCTTCAAGAACATCCACATCACTGAGTTCACCTCCTGATTGGGCAAGCTGATGCTTTCTGTCCTTGGCAACATCCTCTTCATCTGCGCCAACTGTCCCTCCAGCTTCTCACAACGATTCTCTGCAGCAGCAAGGTGGGTGATCAGCACTACAAATGAAAGACAAAACATGTGATGGGTTAACATACAGAATTTAAAACTTCAATTCTATTTGGAGGTCATTTTTTTTACCTTGGTTACAGTTTGACTGCTCGCTTGGTTTTCTTTCCATGTCCTCATCAGAAAGGCGTCTCTGCGCAGGTCTGTCACTTTGCAGACATCCGTCCTTCAACAAAGTGCAAAGGCTCAACTCTGCTCGCTCTTTCTCTGCCTCCAGCCACCTAATCTTCTCTTGGAGATTCCTCAAGGCAGATAAGATCGCTGCAATAGTACAATTAACAAAACAAAATCAGCAGAAATTCAAGGACGCTGTTGCGGCTGAGACATTCAAGTAGTGCGGCATCATGTTGCACGTGTAACCATGGAGCTCCAGCACATTGAGTGGAAACTTTGTCAACACAGGAATCACCTGCACTGCTGCTCTCTGGAAAAGTTTTGATGGGTGATGCCGGACGATATGAATCCTGAGTGAATGTTTGGGACGTGTGACGTGCAGGAATGTTGATGGAAGATCGACGAGCAGGATAGGTTTTGTAAGACGACATGGACAGCCTGTCAGACACCATCCTGCTGGGCTCTAGAGAAGAACGCGATGCCTGCAAGGGACACAGGATCAAGGACATCTTTCAATTAATAAAAGCTTGCAATTGAAAGAATATAAAAAGAAGTACGGCAAACGTTTACATTTACGACTGAACTAAAAACAAGTTTATTTAAACACACACTCGTAAAGCTTAGCAAGGAGCTGTTTTGAGAATGTAGCAACCACTGCTAGCGGTTTGGATAATACACATAACCGACACAAAATACGTTCAAATTCCTCAAGTTAAATGATACAAAAGAGCTGAGGTACCTTATACCGATAGGGTTCTGCTGGGGGTGTTTTTGAAAGTATCTCCATTGATGCACAGCCGACGCTGTCCGCCTAAGCTAAAGGTGTAAACCATATGATTTGATTTAAAAGTTGATGAAGAAACGCCCTTTTTGATTTGACAAGCTAGCCAAGCTCCGCTTTTTTGTGCAGCCTCTCTGTGCAAATATATTATGGGGGGAAAAAAACGCTTTGGCGTTCGAATGATACCAAGTCCGGCTTGGCCCGTTATGCACGACGCTCAGCAGGACTGACATAGACGTAGATAACAGAAGTCGCGTTGCCCCGTAGAAACGTACGTCAGTTCTTCCGCCATTTTGTGAGTGGCAACTTCATCTCAGAAACATAACGCCTTAAAACCCTGTAGTTCTATAACTTTCAGTGCACATCATAATTTATTATTATTATTATTATTATTATTATTATTATTATATTATTATTATTATTATTATTATTATTATTATTGTGTTTTTATTATTGTAGGTATTGCGTAATTACACATCATGCTTTAAATGCACTTAAATTTATTTATTTGTTAACCACTGAACTATGGTTAGCAATGTATTTATGATGTTTTCATGTGCCTTCCAGCAAAAATACCGGTGTTAATATAGCGAACGTAAAGTATCAAATGTCGCTTTGCGGCGTCTAATTCTTCAATGTCTTCACATTTTAGCGCAGGAGGAGAAGGTTCAGCGGCGCTCCAACGCGGATAAACCAAGCGACCCGCAAGTTTTGCGGAAATGTAGTTCTCTTCCTCGGATATTGTCGTAGATCAAGTCGGTGATCACCTGGAATAAAAACTACAATAACCGTGAGCATTCCACAGGGGGGAAATGACGTTTTGCAAGCGTTACCGGGATTTTCAGGGTAAATAGAGACTTCATGGGAGGTAGGTGGCAGGACTTACAGTTTCATCTGTGTTTTCAATGTTTTGTGTATTTATCGAGCCAATGTTACGCATGCGTATTAAATGTTAACTAAAGCTAGCTTCTATGCAAAGAAAGCTGGTGCATTGCACCATAGGATTTTTAAAAAAATGCTAACTTTACTATCCCCACGCTAAATTACCATGAGTTACACTCTTCTATCGGCTATGGCCGCCACTTTAGTTATTGTTAATTAGCACGGTGTCAATCCATACAATACTGAGCTATGTTTTAGAAGGTACAGCTATTCTTACTCTTTTAGAAAATAAATAAAAATAAAAAATAACGAAGCCATTTGGACACTTAGTTTTACTTTATGACTGATGGTTATAAAAAAAGTTAGAAAAGTTGAAAGAAATCGTGGGATCTGAATGAACAGTTGAAATCTTTTAGCATGACTATAATCTAGTTGTTCTGGATTGTCTTTGCTCTCTACAGGGGAACCATTTGTTAACGTGCCAGCTTTTGAATAGAGCCTCTTGCATCGTCATGTCTTCAGAAAACTCGTTGTAAGTTTTCCATCCTTTCTGACAAATGCCTCTCCACAGCATGATACAGCCACCGCCATATTTCATGGTGGATTTTTGTGCTCCAGTTTAGTTAGATCATCAAATCAAAGGTGGCAAAATACAAATTAAATGTATTCATATAGTGCCGAATAAAGAGAGATTTTGTCTCAAGGAACTTAACAAAACACACATAAGATGTCCAATGTATACAGATTACAACCATGCTGACTGATTTAAAGCTAATTACATACAACACAATTTGGTCCTAGTTGTTAAATAATGCATTCAAGCTTATTTGAATTGTTCAACTTGTGGAGGCCACATCTGCTCCGGAGGGTGTAGCAACAGTGGAGAGTTGATTGTGTTGTGTCTCTCTTAAAGATGTCTGAGCTGCGTTTATCATCACATTTCATTTCGCTTTTCCAGGGATGATGAGGATACATTCAAGATCCTGATTTCCACTGATATTCACCTCGGTTACCTCGAGAAAGACGCGATTCGTGGCAGCGACTCCTTCAACACGCTGAAAGAAATCCTGGAATGTGCCAAGGAGAATCAGGTATGTGCGAATAACTGTGATCCAGCGTGGAAGTCGATATTCACATCTTGTTTTGTCTGAACAATTTTTTATTCTCTGGCGTTCATCTGCCTGATTGGTTCTGAATGTATTTTTCTGCAGGTTGATCTCATCCTGCTGGGTGGGGATTTGTTTCACGAGAACAAGCCGTCAAGACGATGCCTCCACACTTGCATCACTATGATGAGGAAATACTGCATGGGAGACTCACCTGTGACCTTTAACATCCTCAGTGACCAGACTATTAACTTCAACACAACACAGTCAGTTTTTTTTTGTTTGCCTCTGTGGGTTTTCCATCAGTGTTGCATATGTACCGAATGAATGAATCATTGTGTTGTAGGTTCCCCTGGGTGAACTATCAGGACGAAAACTTGAACATTTCGATCCCTGTCTTCAGTATTCATGGCAACCACGATGATCCAACCGGGGTTATTTCCTTCTGCTTGAAAAACAATGAGTTCATCAAATACAAATGAGTTCTGAACACATATTTTACTTTGTTTATCTGTGTGTTCGTCCTTAACATGTCTTTTATTTCAAGGCGGAAGGTTTGTGTGCTCTGGACCTGCTGAGTGCTTCTGGTCTCGTCAATCACTTTGGTCACTCTCACTCTGTGGAGAGGATAGAGATTAGTCCAATCCTCTTGCAGAAAGGCAGCACCAAGTTGGCCCTGTACGGTCTTGGTAAGTTTGGGTTTCCTTTTGGTTCCTATTTGTTCATTTCTCATCCACGTCGTACCTAAATTTTGTATGAATGCATGTCAAGGTTCGATCCCGGATGAGCGCCTGTACAGGATGTTTGTCAACAAGCAGGTCACCATGCTTCGACCCAAAGAGGATCAAGATAATTGGTTCAACCTCTTTGCAATTCACCAGAACAGGTGAGTTCTCAAACATGAGTGATGTGAACAGTTTTAAATGAGTTGGTAGAATTCGTATTGTAACAAATACAGTGCCTTGCAAAAATACTCAAACTAAAAAGTAGTGCATAATTGGAAGATAATTTACATTTCTCTTAAAATCTATCGTCAGTATTTCCGGTTTGAACTTCAACTTTGCCATTCTAACATGTGTGCAGCCTTTAACCTAAATCTGTATTGCTGCTTTAACAGATTGTCCCACAGGAGCAGTGTTATTACCATGGGCCCTTTGGCTGCTTCTCTGATAATGGGTTTCTTTACTACCAGGCCTGTTAGATTAGGTTTACAGCCTTATCTTGCGTAAGCAAGCACCACTTTTGATTCATTCAGTTTATATTATCATGTGATATTGAATTTAGACACACTCTCACATGTGTGTCTTGTATAATGAACATGTTTTCACCTTGTCTTACTACTGTTTATGCGAGGAGTGACCATATTGAATGGCAATGTTAAACTGTTTTAAGAAAGAATGGCTGTTAGAATAATTATGTTTTGTTATCATTCTTACATTGGTAGCTATAATAAAGTTAATATTCACATTCCTGAGAAAAGCTCTCATACTTGTTAGACTTTGGAGCTGCAGCTGTGTACAGACCTTGAAGCTGCAGCCACTTGTATCTTCGGGATACTCCTATCTGCCTCCCTCCACATTCCTTTTCTACTATCTACTTGTAATAAAAGAGAAAGCCCTAACAAAGGGTCTTCAGAGCGCTCGGTAAACGGCTGGAAGCAGCGGTTTGCTGGGTTCTCTCCTTTTGCAAAAGCTTTCATAAAATTCACTTGCGTTGTCTGTTTGTTCTTTTATTTAGATTCACAAATACCTATCAATGGCCAATTGAAAAAGATGTTATTTCTGCTTCTTTTCTTATGTTATCTATTACCATAAAGATAAATAACTTTTATCTTTATTTTTCAATATTTTGATGCGCTGTTTTCAAAAAGATCAGTATTTTTGCCATTTAAAAAAAATGTATCCTAAATCAGCTTTTTTTTCTGTTTAGGAGTAAGCACGGTCCCACAAACTACATTCCTGAGCAGTTCCTGGATGATTTCATTGACTTGGTTGTGTGGGGCCACGAACACGAGTGTTTGATTACTCCAACTAGAAATGAGCAGCAGCTTTTCTATGTGACGCAGCCAGGAAGCTCTGTAGCCACCTCCCTGTCGCCAGGAGAAGCCACCAAGAAGTAAACACACTCACTTCAGGAAATTTTCATTGTATTTTGAACAGCTGAGGTTTTCAAGCATCTGCCGTTGTGCTCACTTAGGCATATAGGACTGCTTAGAGTCAAAGGTCGTAAAATGAACCTGCAGAAGATCCCTTTAAAGACAGTCCGTCAGTTCTTCATCCAGGATGTCGTGCTGGCTGACTACGAGGACCTCTTCACACCTGATACTCCTCAGGTTACGAAGAAGGTGGAGAACCTGTGCTTTGCAAAGGTAGCGATGTTCTTCTTAAAATGCACTGCACGGGTTTAAGATTTCACTTTGTCTGTCTCTGTTAATTGTTTCCTTCTTGTCCACCTGGAGGTCTCTGAAATGTTAGAAGAAGCCGAGAGGGAAAGACTCGGCTGTCCACTCACACCGGAGAAACCTTTAGTCCGACTGAGGGTGAGTTGACTTCTGCACTCATCTTTACGTCAGCGCTCATCAGCAGATGAATTTCCCTTGTTGTTGTCTCTAGGTGGACTACAGTGGAGGTTTTGAAACGTTCAACACCTCTCGCTTCAGTCAGAAGTTTGTGGATCGTGTTGCTAACCCAAAAGATATAATTCACTTCCTCAGAAAGCGTGAGCAGAAGGAGGGCGTCAAAGGTCGGACTTCTCCTAAATATACTTCTGCTGACTTTTTCTTTTTGAATCCAACGCTGATTGGTTGAACCAAACCAATACAGTGTCAGACAGAAGTCTGCATCCACTCATCATGGACATACATTGAGAAATTTTATTATTTTATGGATGCATCTTTGCTTTCCCTTTTCCAGGGTATTAATGTCACATTCATTCCAAAAGCTTGATGTTAACCTTCTTTATCTCTCTGGGATTGTCATCTTGTTGGAAAACCCAGTTATCTCAGTTCGTTTTACGAAATCTGAAATGTTGCTAAATGAAGGCACAGGAACCCAGTTTGACAATTTTACAAACAAAAAAAATGTGAAAGTCAAAGGCTTAAAATCTAAGAAATAATGACATTCATGTGGATGACTAGTGTCTAAACTTCTGACTGGAACTGTATTCAATAAATTCAGGATAATTAAATTTGAAACAAAATCAGGAAATAAAAAAATTTGCTTTTTTTTTTTTTAATACCGTTAGTGGATTCTTTCTTAAGACATCCAGGTATTTTACATGTTAAATATGTATAATTAGTTTTATGTATTTATTATTCATTGCAAATTTTAGATGAGCTCAATGTCGACTACAGCAAGCTCGTAAAACCAGCTGCTGTTGAGGGACTGAGGGTGGAGGACCTGGTCAAACAGTATTTCGAAGCGGCTGAGCAGGTGCGTAAACATCAAATGAAAAGCTGACATCACTCGTAGGATTTCAATTTTTTCCCGCGCTTCATCTGATGTTCTCACTGTGTGTGGGTGTGTGTGTGTGTGTGTGTGTGTGTGTGTGTGTGGGTGTCTGTGTGTCTGTGTGTGTGTGTGTGTGTGTGTGTGTGTGTGTGTCTTCACAGAAAGTGCAGCTGTCCCTGCTGACCGAGCAGGGCATGGGGAAAGCCATTCAGGAGTTCGTGGACAAAGACGAGAAGGACGCCATCGAGGAGCTGATCACCTACCAGTTGGAGAAGACGCAGAGGCATCTTCAGAGCAGAGGAGTAACCACAGAGCAAGACATTGATGCAGAGGCAAGAGAGGCACCGGAGAGATAAGCAAACCGTCGTGTCGTGTGGCGTTGGGAAGGATGGTTAACGGAATATCTTTCAGATTCAGAAATTCAGAGACTCCAAGAAGAATACGACTGAAGAAGAGGACGACATCAAAGAAGTAGGGAAGAATACCAACCGGGCTTTCAGATGAGGTGAAGAGCTTGTGTTTCATTATGCGTTTGTGTCTCAGGCCATGAACAGAGCCAGAGCCCACCGGATGGAGCGAGGTGATCTCGATTTGTCTGTTGAGCCCGCAGATGTTACCATGGACTCCGACGAGGATTCAGGGGTGCTTCCTGCTCCGACCCGAGGCAGAGGACGAGGAGGCGGTAGAGGGCGAGGAAGTCGGGGCGGGGCTAGGGGTCGAGGTGAGAGTCCCACGTGGATGTCAGGAAGTGCTTTTGTGAGATGCAATATTTTACAGAAAAGACATTTAAAGAGATGAGGCTGCTATTCAAGATGTCCATGTCAGTCTGATGTCTCTCTGCAAATTTGATCATTTACCTCATATTAATAAAGTAAATGTGGCCTAAAGCAGCTGTGGGCATAACCATATTGGTTTGTGATTTAATTTTATTTGTTGTTACTCTCTCTAAATTCAGCTACTATATGACCTTGAGATAAATGACTGCTGCCATCCAGTCAAATATGTAACAGACACAGAGAAAGACTGATATTAATAATGATGGTATCTAATATCTTCTGCTCACTGTTATCATAGAGGTGGAGACCTTTCTGCTAATTATTCACCAGGCATTCAGTGAACTATAGCAGTTGCAGCCAATTTGTTATTTATGTCGGGCCTAATTTACTGAAGAAGTCCACGCAGCCGGAAAGCTAGTTTCTGAGTCCCAGATTTGGATATGCAAACCAGCTGGAGTTTTCAAATGTGCTCTCAGTATGTCATTCAGGCTGGAATCTGGGCGTCGGCCGACATGGAAAGTTCTTCACAGTTGAATTCGGAGCGAAGGGCTTCGAAATGTCACCTGAGTTGTATAAAGTGGTAAATAAATAAGCCACCACTGGAGTCCTGCAGTGACAGCCTTTTTGTTCATTTAATAAAGCATTTACTTAAATTGTCGTGAAGAATTTGCCATCTAATTCTGCGTTGCGGATGTGTGTGTGTGTCTTTTTGTCCCCATAAATCTTATGGTCCTTTACCTGTCCAGGTTCTGCTGCATCAGAAGCAAAGCCAGCCGGTCGGGGTCGGGGTCGTTCCCAGAGATCAGCACCAGCATCTCAGACCAGAAACATATTTCAGGGTAGAGGGGACTCTTCAATCATTAATAACCCGCTGAAATATTTGAGATTTTTTCCTATTTTCTCAATATTATGTCTTTATCTCTTCTCATTTCTCAGCTTTTCAGGCTACATCCCAAAGACCTCAAATAGGAGGATCCACTTCTTCTGCAGCTGAAGAGGTAAATAAACAAATAAACCGTAGCTTCCATTGAGATTTTTTCTTCATTCAGCAATTCGAATGGATTTCAACATTTCCTTGTTGCTTATGTCTCAACTCCACCAATTTTAGAGATTAGATTGGGGCAAAAAAAAATAAAAAATCCCAAGCCCAATCCAACCCATGTAATTAACTTATCATAAGTAATTTAACTGTGATTATAGGTGCGAGCCTGAAGTCAATGCGACATATTACTTCAAATAAGATTTCACTGCTCTCGCTTTCAGAGTATAATTTGAGTAAGCGGTGTAGCTTTTGTTTAGCAACTTCCAGCTCCATTTCGTCACTTGTAACCGCAGGCTGACTCACGTGCAAATCATCTGGGATGTGTCATCTGGGAGCATAGCGGGGTGGAGCTGGATGTGCGCTGCATGTTTTACAGTCTAACAAACATCTGCACATTACTGTCTTTCTTTCCTCATCATGATAAACTACCTAATCAGTTAAATAGGCCTTAATAAGTAGATTAACGCAACTTTATATTGTGCATTTACATTTGGTCTATTCTTTGTTGAATGTATTGTAGGATGCCACAGACCACAAACCTGACCATTGAGCAACTAATTTTGGCCTGACCTGGCCCGAATTTTGGTTCGTTGTCAGGTTCGGACTGTGGAAATGATCAAATGAAAATTAAAAAAAAGAATTACAAAAACATCATGAAATGGAAAGTTGTAACAGAGAACCTGGCTAGAAACTCAAGCGACTAATTAAGTCAAAAAGAAACATAAAAACATTCAGACCAATTCTTGTGCAGCTTAATTCTAGAGCTTACCTGTGACTTGGAAAATATTCCTGGTACCTTCATAAACGTAACACATAATTCCTCTCTGTGCCGTTTGACCATCTTCAGGTGATCATAGAAGACTCAGATGAAGATATACCCGTAATGAAAGCTACCAGGCCGCCTCCAAGGTTTGTGCAACGTTAACATTTAGCCAGAGAAAAGCCAGAGAGATGCATACCGTTTCTCTTCTGCCTCTAAGCTGAATTTTGTTCCTGTCAAACACAGATCGTCATCATCATCCTTCCCCAAGTACGGTTCTCAGAGCCAGAGTCAGACATCTCGAGGAGTTGCTTTTGATGACAGTGATGAGGAGGTACGAACAAATATGGGAAGTTAGATTACTCATAGACTTTCCACATTTCCATCTTGTTATTTTTGCAATGTACAAACTAATCTTGACTCTTCTATCTTACTTGTTTTCATGTTTGCAGGACGACCCATTCAAAGGCCACAGTCGTGGTTCAAGAAGATAAGCACATCCATCACTTGTGTTTAATTCAAAGAATTACTGTCTGTATTCCTGCACTGTTCTTCTGTCTTCTTAAATGGTGACAATGATTAATTCAAGTCTACAACCAAAACTGCATGGGGTAAAATAATGGAGTTTCCATTACTGTGGGGATTAAAGAGTTTGAGCAGAGGAGTTTAGAAAATGTCAAGTTTGCACATTCATGTTTCCATTTCCTGGAGGGCTCCTGTTGTGAATCTTTTTTTTTTCACTGCCCTTTCTAAATATGAAAAAATAAAGAGTTGTCATATAAAAATGACAAACATCTGTCCAAGTTGTTTAAAATCTCTGCCAAGGTTTTCATTCCTGATTTGCAGTTTATTATAATTGACCGGATATCCAAAGAATCAGTTTGACCTCAGAACTAAAGTCAATTGAAACTCGAAGTATTCTCAAATGTTTAGAAACGAATTCATTTTACTAGAAATTATAATAAAAAAAAAATATATTTATTTGTTAATCAAAAACACCTTACTAAAAGGAATAAACTAATGTTGAGTGGTTAAATACATTGGTACAAAGTGGTTCGTTCACATTTGTGAAGTAGACAAAATGAAAGACGTTTATTTCCCAGTTTTATTTTCACTTCAACATAACAGTCTCCAAGGTGAGAAAAAGTTTATCATATATATTTACAGACTATTTACAGCTATATGTCAAAATCAAATAAATGTTAACAGCATCAACATTTAATTTACACAGAAAGGCAAAAATTATTTGACCTGCATTTAAAAAAAAACAATGTGACTATTTAGGAGTCACTGATACAACAAAATGTTTTTTTTAATTAATCTAAAATATCCTTGCCTGTAAAAATCGTGCATTATTGGCACTTAAGTTGAGAAAAGGGCCACAAATTCAGCACCATAAAAGCATCTATTATTGCAAAAAACAACCATCACTGAATCTGACTGGCTTGTTTTGCCAAAAAGTGCTTCCAGAATAAAGAAAGAAAAAAAAAATAGCTACAATACTTTTTGAGACCTTAATTAGGCAACAGAAAAAACAAAAGCAAACATGTTCCCTGAGGTAAATGCAGACACAAAAAAAGAATTACAAAAACATTCACCTTCATTTTCACATGTCCTGTGAAAATGAATATGTCTGCATCCATACTTTTGCGGCTCGGGGTAATGCAAATGTTTCATTGACAGCAGATGTGCATATTCTGCTCTTCTCCCTCAAAGTCCTCTTATTTCCATAAAGCAGTGCAAAAACAAGAACTTTCATTTCCTCAGCTTCACAGTCTGACTCAGGTAAAAATGCCTGAAATCCACTCAGTGGCTCCAGTCACATTGGAACATCATGGGTTTTTCTGAAAAAAAAAAAAGAAGAAAAAAACTCATGTAATTGAAGCCTGTAAAAATGGAGGTTCCTTTGTTTGCATGCAGTACCTCAATGACTGTATAGATCCAGTTGAGCATGTCATCCACGTTGCTGTAGACGCCAGGTCGGTTTTCCCGTGCGCAGCCATCACCCCAGCTCACCACTCCCACCAGATGCCACTTAGAGGAGGAAAAATACACCAAGGGGCCTCCGCTATCGCCCTGTAGTTTGAACCACAATACAAATGGCTCGGTATTAAAAAATCTTGCAAGAACAGCACAGTGACGATACGTCGTCAAGTAGCTCAATTTAGACATTTAAATGGACCCTGAGTGTAACTCATTACCTGGCAGGAATCCACACCTCCCTTCAAGTTGCCAGCACAGATCATTCTTTGCGATAGCGAGGTTCCATAAATACTGGAACATGTATTTCGATTAATCATCTCAATATTGGCCTTTTGTAGTACATTTGAAGTTTTCCCTGAAAAGGTAAAACAAATCTGCTGTAGCATTAGCTTACAAAAGCAAAACCTTTTTTTTTTCTTCCCTTGGTTCGAGAGTCTCACCATTTTCTCTCAGCAGTCCCCAGCCTGAAACAACCACAGGAGCCTTGTCAGGAAGGAGAAGGTACTTAGGAGGGAGACACACCGGCTTGCGTTTCCCTGATCATGAAGAAAGTTAGAAAGACGAGTTGAATTAGCTGCTTTTCAAGCATGTACGATTACCATCACCAGGATGAGTAAGAATCTCTACAGAGAAGCAGTCAAAGAAAACAAGATCATCAGCTTGTTGATTTAAATTTTAAAATTACATTGGAGTTGAAAACACTGAGCACCAGATGTCAGTAAAGGGCTTTGATAAATGTTCAGAAATCTCTTAAAGGTCACGACCTTTAAGAGATGTATCTGAGCGTGTTAAGATTTTGTGTGTTTTTAGGCCTAACCTCCCACTGAGATTGGCCTGCTCAGCCTCATCATTGCCAAGTCGTAGTCGTTTCTGCCTTCATCGTATTCATCATGGATTATGATCTTGTCCACAGAGGAGAGTCCTGATGAGGTCATGTATGTCTCTCCTGCCATCACTGTCCACCGACTCAGCTCTTTGTTACCGCTGCAGGGGCCCGAGAATAAGGTAGGGAGAGAGAGAAAGACAGGTAGGAGAAAGGGGGTTTAATATTTCGTGGCGGACCAAAATTCACAAGAAATGGCCAACAGCGGCGATTTTACTAACCTAAAGCAGTGTGCAGCAGTGACTATCCAACGTGATGACACCAGTGAGCCGCCACATCTGTGCCCGCCATTCTGCAGGCTGACTTGCCAGGGATAATCCTCTATCCGGGCATCCACGCCACCAACGATGCGCTCCACATTGCCCCCCTCTCCACAATCTGACCAATACAGCAATTTTTATGAGAAACGGTTTTTAATGGCACCACCCACTAGCAAATTTTGTAAATAAGTTTTACAAAATTTACTACTCTATAACAATCTTTACTTTTATATCACGAGGTTGACAAATTATCACCTAATGATTGCAAAAGTTTGTCTTGTAATACTTGGTATCATGTGTTTGATAAAGGTGGATATTAAAAATATGTAATATATAAAGTAACCAGAGGACTGTTTTATAGTCGGTACAAATTTGATTCATTTGTGCAGTAATGGATAAAATAACAGTAGCATAAATGCAAGAAAGACACTATCTATAAAGATTGTGCTCATTATTATTATATATGGCAGAGGGGGACGTGAACTCTTAGTATCCTGGCAGCAGGAATAAACACAATGTGTTGTGAGTTTCTAGGGGTTGTTTAGGCCTGCATGTGTGAAACCTGTTACCTCCAATGCTCTTCTCCACTGAAACCTATTTTATGTCATGAAAACCCTGGAAACAATGCAGTCACACGACACACTGGTTTTCTAAAACCAGAACTCACCTGAGCACTTCAAAGAGACCACAGATCCAGTGCGGCACACGCTGCTGTTTGTAGAAAAAAAGAAAGGGTGATAAGCCGAGAACTGTATATGCTAATGCAACCAAAAACAACTTACATGATGGACACAATAATCTTTCCCCTGCTTCTCTAACTTCAATCCAGTTTTCGTTCCGTTTTGTCTGGGTAAAGTACCCGTTTGTTCACTTTCGTGGAAAATACATTTAAGGAACAAAAACTGGACTTTTTTCTGCATTACAGGAACAGAAACTCAGCAAAGAAAAGACAACAAGAGTCAAAAAGAAAAGTGAAGCGAAGGGGAGTTTTTGTACACTAATAGCAGATTAATATTTATAGTGTGTTAACTTTCGTTTGTTTTGTTTTTTTTTGTAGGGAGAGCTTTTGGCCTGCTCAGATGGCTTGAAACCTCAATTTGGCCATAAATCATCCCTGCAAGTGGTGCAAACAAACAGGACTTTTTAAAAAAAAACATGAGCAAAACTGTTGTTCTCACCGCTCAACGGTTGCCTGATGTACTGGTGTGCTTCCACTTTCGCTCCTGACTGCCATGAACGGTCCAGTTTTTAAAGGAGACGGCAAAGAGCTAACATAGACATCTTTGCTTGTTGGGGATCTGTTCACAGAGAGTAAAGGAGAAATGTGAGGCTCTTTGTGATCCAAGACCAAACAACCAGTTTCTTAAGTCGTGACAGTATTGTTAAAACTCACTTTGTGTATCCTAGTTGTTTGCAAGCAGTCTCGGTGTGCTGTGTGCTCCAGTCGTCGGTGCAGACGGTCCCCCATGTTTTGCCGTTGAAGACTTGGAGGACATGCTCATCAGAAACTAGACGCACTGAGAGGGATCGGGGGGAGAAAATCACAATTTTGCTTCCAAACTCTAGTTTTGTTTAGAGGATAATATGTGAAAAGGCCAGGTGTTTCAGTTGTACCTGGAAATGTGCCGTTTGCTTTGAATTCTGACAAACAATAAGCCTCATCTTCTCCATCAACACAATCAAAGTTTCCGTCACAGGATTGAGCGATTGGGATGAACTTCGCCGAGCGTGTGCAGTAGTAGTAATGGCTTTCAATTAGCATCTTAACTGGAGGGGAGAGGAGTCACATGTAAGAACAGTGGCTGAGAATATGGGCTGGAAATGTGTGACACTAAATCCTGGAAATTATTCTTTACATAGAAACATTTCTTCTGCTGAAATGCAAAGGAGAATCTTGTTTAAAATAGCAAACTTATTTGATAACATATAATGTTATCAGGAATTGGGACTTACTAAGAAATCCTGCAGTGACCAATATGGCCAAAATCACTACTGCTATCACAATCCAGATTAATATTTTCTTCGTCTTCAACACCTTTTGTCTTTGAGGTGTTGAGTTCGTCATGGGCTTGTTGGAAACAACTTCTTGAGGAACTGCAAAAGAACAAAGTAAAAAAAAAAAAATCAGAATATCAAAGACAGAAAAATGAAACAATCAAGAACAGTGGTCTTCAACTCCAGTCGTTGAATGCATACTGAGGATGTCAATTTGATGCACGTGTGTTGGACCAGGGGTAGGCCTAAATGTTTCTGGACACTGGCCATTGAGGACTGGAGTTGATAATGCCTTTTCTAGGACTTGTAAAGGAGCCGGAAAAGGACCTGATTGGGATTCCAAAGTTTTGACCCGCAGTTTCAAATGTTTTAGCTTCCTGATTCCACATTCGATCTATAACCAGAGATGGGCTCTTAACTTACTTTGCATACTTGGATTCAGTGGTATTTCGATATCTGCTGGTCCCTGAGTCTCCCTGCTGGTCTGAGATTTCTGAGGACAGAAGACAACAGATATCACATGAGCAACAGGTGTCTATGAAACCAGACCAGATTTCAGAGGAAGTGTGGGCCGGTTTCAGTGCCCTACCTGTAAAAGTTTTCTTTAAGCAGGCGTTTTACAACATATTGAAAATTATAGTTAAGCCCAAAATTATTCACACCTCTGCGAGATTCAGACTTTCAATAGTTTTTAATTCAACTTAGACATTTGTTCCTAATAGAGACACAGGCGACCTGCAAAAGATAAGCCACTATATAAAGAGTATAAAATAAACCCCTCCATTTTAGTAAGTGTTTATAACCTTTTAATGGAAAATCCTGAAATAGAATTGGAGCAATCAAAACCTTTTTGTAACTGTTGATTAGTTTTTGCATGTTTACATTGGTAAAATAAAAATAAAAAAATCTAGCAATTCATCTGAAAGGAGGTTTTTGATTCAAATAATATAAATATTCATGCTTGCATTTAGCAAAACAGCAGTCAGTGAAATGTACAAGATATGTGAAGCCTGACTTACATTACCATCAAGTTGCTTGGCTGTAATAATTTTCAAATAATTGGTAATTGTTATGAAATACCCTCACTGATATCCTTGGGTACAAAGCATGAGGTTTAACTTCAGAGAAATTATACAATCAGAAAGGAGGGCTGTAAGCATATCATCAAAAACTGTTTAGAATAGAAAAGGAAGCAAGACCGCTATGGTGGTTTTAAAGGTGCAGAACCAGGATGCTGCACGACACATGGAACATTTTTTTTCTCTACAAATATGAGTTGTTAAATTGCCACAGTGTTATTTTCTGGTTTTCTATTAGATGCAATCAGATCATTTCAACCTCACACTCAAAAGAACAGCTTTGCATGTGCTGCAAAGCTGAGCTGCAATATACATATACATATATATTAAAAAAATCATTCAGTGATGAAGTGTGAAAAACTGAAATCACCAAGAACTGCTTGGATGGATGCGGTATTTGGTCGGCTTTGATCAAAACGTCATGCATTCAAACTCTGCCTGCCGATATTTGAACAGTAGAAAAAGACCTTTACTTCCAACATCTCTTCGGTCTTAGTTGTCGGATACCAAAGCTCAGAGAGGGAACATCGTAATGACTGAAAAGAAAAGATGTGGCCATTAAAATGTTATTTCAATGTTTACCACTGCGTTAATGTCATCCAACCAAACTGCAAAGTCTATTAGATCTGATGATTGAGCTGTTCGTCTGCAACACATTGTGGGAAAAAAGCGACACTGATGCAAATCGATGTCGAGCTGCATCTTCGACCACAAGAGCCACAGGCTGAGGACTCATGGTACTTGATGTTTCTTGTTAAAAGGCATCGGTTGAGCACAGAAACACAATAGCATCGACCTTGCAAGTCTGTACATGGTGTACCTGACCAATAATGCAGATGCACCTGCTTAAACAAACGTTCAAGTTGAGAACGTTTTTATTGTCTTTCTGCAGTCGTCCACACACAAAGAAAAATTGTTCAGTGATTCAGAAGTCTGATATTGTACCTACATCAGTTTAAAACTAAATGTGCAAATGACTTGAATGCATCTAAACAACCATTTACTGGACTGATATCTGGAAAGCTAAGATTAGGGTAACGTTTTAACATTATTTGTAAAACAACCAACAGTAGGATTAATGGGATCTTATATCCAAATCCTTCAGCTGCGCTACTCTGCTATGAAAGCTCTGGCTGTAAAGATCTAGAATCCAGATTTTTAGTAGAAAGTTTCTACTAGAAATGATATACTCAAAGGCAGAAAAAATGTTCAACCTTTTGGATGACACACCCATCTTTAGTTGTTTCATAATAGCTACATGATCACTTCTCTGTCTGAGGTTTCAACAAAGCAAATATATTATGAAAAGAAAAGAAAAAAAACTGGAGATGTTTGTTTTGTTATTGGATTAGCTGAACAAAGAAACCCTTTTGACTGGATCCCAACATGAATGTAGAGCTTCTGGATATGTTTTTATCAATCAGGTAAGCATAATTACTGAGATGTGATCACATTCCTATCAACTGATCTTTAAGGAGAAGCAAGCAAATGATAAATATATGTTAGATTTTAATGTATTAGGTTTGACCTCCTTGTGAATCTGTAATTAACCAATAAGAAAGGCGTTTATGTTATTCTAAATCTCTACAATGGTTGTAATGTCGGCGCTATAAATAATATGAGCTTTTATCCAATCTACAGTGTGTTGCCCAACAGCTATTGAGATGTTTCTGAACATCTGTACAGCCCGATGCGAGATCTGTAGATGAGATGGATAAGCTCTGAAGAGAGTTTCACCAAGTTCGCTACAGCTGACTCCACAATCCAAGCAAAGTTTAGAGACTGAAACAGACTTTATAATTTCAGAGTTCTCAGTTCTTTTAATATGAAGATTTCTTTTGACACGCTGATTTTTACCTTTGAACATCGCAGGAGTTTCTTGACTCAGCCTGTCCGAAGTGTTCTGGTTTTTAATTTTTTTATTATATTGCAGAGAAATTCTTTGTTGCCTGTCTTGAGCCCAGGCAAAGATGTGTCTGCTTGCAGAATCACTGATACCTATCAGAGCTGCCATTGCCTAGCAAGCTCTTCAATATGCATACAGCCCTCCTTTCTGATTGTAATGAAATTCCCGGTGCGTCACTTCCTTAGGAGGCCTGAAACCTTCTGAACAGCAGCTAACCCTTTGTCCTTGACGTTCTTAATTTGATAAATGGTTGAGTTGGGTGTGGCCTAACTAGAAGTAGCACATTTGCATGTGAGGCCCTCTTTTATGCAAAGCAGCAACTGAAGCCTGTGTTACTGTGGTGGTAACCATTTTTATGTAAAGAATAAACCAAACAGCAACGCTCTCCAGCACTGCTCCCTTTTAAGGTGACCATCATGCTTTTCAATTTGTACAAAACAAGAGTTAGTTTCAAATGTAATTATTAACATATTTATTCATACCATGAGGACAATTTATGTTCTATCAGGCAACATTAACTCATTTTTCTCAATGCCAAATCTTTAGACTTCCTTATTGTCATATAAACTTACATAAAATGGAAATTTTTCTTTGATAATGGCACAAAGACACACAACACAACACACATCTCTGTCGGAGCCTCGAAAGGTAGCACTATTGCAAGGGCATTCATCTTTCCTGTTTTTACATATATGAATTATATGCATATAGAATCATGTAAAATATTTTGTGAATGTTTAAAATGTCACTAAGTCATGGCAGCACTCGTCACAAAGATGCCCTAGAGATGTAGCTCCTGATAACTAGAATTAATTTGAATGCACTAGTATGTTGGTCAAATTCACAGCTCTGCAGCTGCACAAAAGTCATATAATCCTGTTTGACCATGTTTACTGTTGGAAAATAAGGAAGCGTCTGCATTGAAAATTAGTCAAGAGAAGTCTAATGCACAAATAAAGTACAGCTCATTTTGAACTTGTCTAAAAACACGGAAGTTTTTTTGCAGTTTGTGCTTACGAGTAAAATGATTGTAAAGTATCATATTAGAAAAAGGGGAATTTAAAAGGACAACAACAAATGCTTCAACAAGTTCGCTGTTAGGTGATACTGTTAGGAGATTATGTTGCAGCAATCAAATACAAATTTATTTCAAGGTTGTTTCTCACAAAAGGTAGATATTGTTCTTTTGCAATTGGCTTTTAAGAGTCTCATTAAGAAATTTTAGCACATAATGTGCAATCAGATGGTTTAAGGAACTCTTTGCTTTGCCTGTTGTCCTACTTTTTAGCTTGCTCTACTACTTTTTCACACAGCCTTTAGATTGCAACCATGTTTACAGCACAAAGGCATTCTAAAGACCTGTCATAGCCCTACATTTTATGTAGATTTGTTTGTTACAAGACACAGAAAAAGCACACTTGTCTACTGTATAAAGGACCAGTAGCTATACAGACAGAGAATGTTGCCAAACAGGTTTTTTGTGCTTCATATTCTGTCATAACAGGTTTTGTCGATATGTTCAGCTCTTGATACGTGTCTCAGTTTCTTTTGTGAGGAATTTTTCATTCAAAGAGTTATTTTATCGTATTTTCAATTATTTTCTTTTTTACATTATGGCTTTGCAAATAAGTCAAAGGTGGCTAATTTCTTTAAAATGTTGATCTTAAGTAACAAAAATAGTGTCTCATTTTATTCAGAACTTCATTCTAGTTTTAGAAAAAAAATATAATCTCTAACTATCAATACTTTTGAACGGTTAAACACACATCAAGAAACCAATGTCATGTTAAGAAACGTTGCTGGTGTATAGCCCAGGATGGTCTTTGGCAATAGATTTTTCATCTCTATGACTTTCTTTTTCCTGGTTTCAATCAAACAAACAAACAAACAAATTGTAACAGGAAACTAGGTCACCAACACCTGAAAGTGTGCCGTAAACTCCGAGTATCGAGAATGCAGGGAGGACGAAACTAGACATGACAAGCTGGGAAACCTGAAACATGGCTGTAGAACTCTGGGAATTGAACAAACGATTTCTAAGATCAGTGGGTTGTTTTTGTTCCCCGAAATATCGTCATATTTTGTAAGACGACGTCTTAAAATAACATGACGACTGACATAAACCTGTCTGTGAGTCACACACAAATCTCTCTCTCTTTTGTTTTTTAAGTCATATTAAACCAATAGTTATTTTAGTTAGTTTTTTGGGAAGCTCTCCAGTTTTAACAAAAGCAATTATAACTGGGTCATTTGAAAACCTTGACAGTTATCTCTTCGATAACTGCGTTAACTTAGAAAACAAAAATATTTCATCTGAATTCAGCTGAGAAAAATGGGCATCTGAGAAGCTATGCAGGAGAAGAGAGCTGAGGGATGTAAAAACAAAATATAACATTCATCCATGTTCTTACATCCTGGTCCCTGGTGGGGTCGGGACAAAATATAAAATGAGATAATTCATTTATGTGATGGAACAAAGTCCAAAATAGGAAGTGTAAATTTAGAAGATTTTACCCAACGACACTGCAGAACTGATTAATATGATTCAACCTAAGAAGTCACCACATTTTACTTTGCAGTGTTTTCAAGCTTGTTTCAGGTCAAATAGTCAGATCAATCATAACTACTAGATGGTTGCCTTAAAAAAAAAAAAAGAACAGCTTCGTATGCTTTACTTACCCCCATTTTCTCCTTTTTTTTCCTGTAAGTAGCGTACCACTGCCCTTTCCTCAGTTTGTGCTGTCCTCTATATCCTCCTTCTTCTGCCTCTTGTCACCTTTTCTCCCACTGGTTTTAACAGGAAAACCTGGAGCGATCCTGTCCCGGTCTCCCTTCCGAGCTCCCTCTCCTTTTCAATCTATCTGCGTATCTGAATCTAGTTTGAAGTTTGACCTCCACCTCCGCGATCCCAGCGCTGTAGTAAACCGTGCCGGTGTACGGTGCCGAGTGTTGTTGCAGTGCAGTTTAGAAAGAAGCTTCTCCCTAATAGCCCAAGGTCTTTTGACAGAGCAAAACTAAATTCCGGTAACACGACACTTTAACCTTCCTACCTGCATTCCCTCTGTATCGTCCCTCCTCCTTTTAACATCTTAACTGACAACTTCAATAAAAGCCCCAAAGGCAGCATTTTACTTTTAACGAGGTCTTATATTTTAGGTCTATTCTTTTATTAAGTGTTTATTAGTCAGGATTCCCTCAGTTGACATGAACTATTATACATTTAAGTGTAAAAAAGCAGCACGTTGCTGACAGACAAAACATGTCTGCCACTGCAAGCAGTTGCTCAGGCGTGGCCGCTTGATTTGTTTTGACAGTAATATGCTGAGCAGGTATCAGTCAGTCATCCTGACTCACAAACTGTAGGTCAGGTGAGGCATGTAAACATAAGATACCTAAAACGACTGAGTAAATGTGTCGTATGAGATGGTATGGTGAACTATAAAAGTATGCATTTAAAGTTAGATATTTCTCCAAATTTTATTTAAATCTGAAGAAAATGTGATCATTCTTGAATAAATTTAATATTTATTACTATGTACAAGCACATCTTTGAAGATCAGATTGACTCAATTCATTGTCTTGTTTATTTTTATTCAACTTCATATTTTGGCTTTCTTATTATTTCCCAATTTTTACGAAACTCTTCCTTGCAGAAGTAGCTCTTTACGATTCTCACACCAGACCTATATTTCAAATAAACAAAACTTGCTACAATTCAGGATGAAAATCGAGACTCCCTGCTTAGTTTTTCAGTTTCCAACCTATTAAGTGGCCTAAAGAGCCACACATATCAAATATGTCAGACTGCAAAGACTGAGTTCATAACAAACTGTTACACCGCTTTGAAGGAGTTAAATTGTCTTTCAAAGACACACGTCACACTTCTGGAAACCCTGTCATTTGGGATAATAATTAATCCAGTGAAAATATTACAGGAAACCAACCGGACGCAACGAGATAAAGGGAGGGGGGAGGAATCTAGGTGGGAAGTTTGAGAAGTGAGTGATCAGGATGGCAGAAGAGAAAGAGCCTTTGTTACAAACAGAAGCAGATAGTCTTTACTGATCTCAGATATCGGATGGTCACTTCCAGTATTTCCTCACCTTCCTCCACTCAGGTGCATGTCATCAGGTGTCATGCATCCGATGGCTCATAAATCATTCTCGTACAAGCAACCTCAGTATGATCGTAGCTGTGAGCTTGCACTACAAAAGCCTGGATCAATACATTTTTTGTAAAGAAAACAAAAGGTCTTGGTGATATCTCTTGCAAATGAAACAGTTTTAGGCTGATTTAAACAGCCAGGTTTGCACTCGATTTCTGCAAAACAGCTTCTGTTAATCCACTTGTCATTCTGTCATGCAATTTCCACGATGCATCAGAGCCCCACCCCAGTGGAATGAGTAATCTTGTTTTGATGTGTTTGCCTGAGCTACAGAGATCAACATGAAACTTAAAATTTAGATCAAATGACGTAGCAGTTTGTTTGTCTTTTCTCCTGTCCACTACTGCCAGATTCATCTCCAAGCAGATCCTGCATGGTTCCACGCAGCTTTTCTTCATTTTCATACCCAGGGTTTTGCATAAAGTGGGGAAACAAGTAGTACAATTCCAAAGGCCCCCAACAAGAAAGAAATTTTATTATTATTATTAATATTATAATAATAATATATATATATATATATATATATATATATATATATATATATATATATATGTATATATATATATATATATATATATATATATATATATATATATATATATATATATATATATATATATATATATATATATATATATATATATATATATATATATATATATATATATATATATATATATATATATATATATATATATATATATATAGGAATCCACATCCACAATTAACTAAATGGTATCTTCACCTTTTCTTATATTTGGCAGTAAAAGTTACATTGATATTTACTGAACCCCCCTCTGCATCCACGTGGTATATATATATATTATATATTTTTTTTTATATTTTGCAAATGGCATTCAGATTTATTTTTTAGCTTTTTATAACTATCAGATTTACAAACAAGGAGAACAAACACTGCCCTTTCAAACAGATTACAACACACTTATTGAAGGTCATTTCAATGAGAACAGTTAGTCCTTCTGATCAGAAAAGCAAATAAACAGTTAAAGTTTGACAGAAAGAGACCAAAGTTTGAGTTTTCAGACTTAAATCTGTCAGACAGTTCACATGCCACTCATTCTGCTCTTCTCCATAATTATTACATTATTGTAAGCCGTTGAAACACAAAAAGATAATTAACTTTGCGATGTCGAAACAAGTTTAGGTTTGAATTTGGAAATAAAGGAGGAAGTCATAAAAACATCTTAGTAATTACGTTGACACAATCATTATTAATATAGTTTATGCTCACCTGCCACAGAAATGTTTTTATTCCTTTGGTGCTGGTGAATATAGAATCCAAAAAGTATCAAGAAAGTTGGACAGAGATCAATAGTTCCTGATGGAGATTGTTCATTCGTTTCCTCTGTGGACTTTTACAACTAACATTTATAGCTTCAACAAGCAAACAGCCTTCAATATCTCTTCATCCCATCACTCCGCCCTCCTCTTTCTGAAAAGCAAATACACACACTCTCTCGCTCACTATATCCTTGAACACACACAATCAGCCCTCTCTCTACATTCAACCGTCTTTCCACTGCCGCCCACCAGTGGAGGCGTTTTATCCTTTGTTTTCGCACTTAGGAGTAAATTTTGTGAAACTTAATATTGGGTTTTAGACACCTTGTGGGAAGTGTGATTTGAAAAAAATAAAATCTTCTCATCTCCATGGTCAAGCATTGACCCATATGTATTGTTTCCACAATACAAATGCTCTCATTTAATAAAAAAAATAGGTCAAGCATGATGCTTGACCTAATTTTGATGAAATTAGTTCATTGAAACTGACTTTCTTTTAACGTTTAAATCAGGGATTTAGTTGTGGAGATTTTATAAAAAGCCTTGGGACTGTTTTTGCTGTTCTAATATTGTAAAGGGTGTGTCACGCCATTCCTTGCTGAATGGGTGGATTTACAGTATGAGAAAAGCTGTTTTACCCTGCTCAGAAATGTGAAATATGCCACTCAATATTTAACCCAAGAAGGGTGACTGGAGCAATAACTATTCATGAATAATAGCAGAGGGATATGTGATATCATAGTGAAGCCTAGCAGCCTTATAATCTAATATTTCCCTAGTCTTTGTGAAAAGGATTAGTTACATTTTCCTGTGGTCATTTCCTTGTGGGATTTTACTGGAAAAACTGGAAATGTGTTACCTTGAAATAAGATGAAAAGATTTTTTTCCTGAAAAGCCTCTTCTTCTGCTTACTGTAAGTGAGCGGTAAATGTGTGAACAAAAAGGCAAGGGGTAATTTTCTTTACCCGTCTGTCTGCAGCTGATAATGTGACAATAAGAGGAAGAAACTATTTTTCAGAAATGTTACTAAAGTGAAGGCAACAATATTGACTTGACATTAATATTTCAGTGGATATCAGAATATACTTTAAAATACTATTCACAGCTTTGGACAAAAACAAACAAATTGAAGAGCAATGTTGTTTGTGTTGTTGTTGATGTGATTCACATATGTGAATAAGATACATGCGTTACAAAACCTGCACTAATATACACCGTGTTCCAAATTATTATACAAATTGGATTGAAGTGTCATAAAGATATATATTTTTTCTTTTTCAATTAAACTCATGGATGGCATTGTGTCTCAGGGCTCTTTGGATCACTGAAATCAATCTCAGACACCTGTGATAATAAGTTTGCCAGGTGAGCCCAATTAAAGAAAACTACTTATGAAGGATGTTGCACATTATTAAGCAGGCCACAGGTTTCAAGCAACATTGGAAAGAAAAAGGATCTCTCTGCTGCCGAAAAGCATCAAATAGTGTAATGCCTATGAAAACATTAGATGTTTCATGAAAACTTAAGAGATTGGTGACTGATTCAATGAGGAAGGTTTCTGCCAGGCAAGTTCATCGGATTAAGAGAGCCGTTGCTAAAATGCCATTACAAACCAGCAAACAGTTATTTGAAGCTGCTGGTGCCTCTGGGACCTCAAGGTGGAGGATCCTCCAGAGGCTTACAGTGGTGTGTAAACATACTATTGGGCTACCCCTAACCAGTGCTCACAAGCAGAAACGGTTGCAGTGGGGGGCCCAGACATACATAAAGTCTAATTTCCAAACAGAGTTATGTTTTTTCTGTGGTTGTCATCAGGGTTCCACTGATCAAATTGTAGTTCATGGAGCCAGTAAGGTTTTTACATATTGATACATTTCACATGATAAAAAGATCGTTCTTAACATGCAGTATCAAGGATCACATTAATGTTATATTTTTCCTACTTGACCGGTAGTTTTTTTAAATCGATGGAGAAATCTGAAGCCTGTCCGTCATTTTGACAGACTACAATTCACACCCCTGACTGTACTTGCTGCAGATGAGAAGACACTTCCAACTTATTGCACAGAGTTCATAAAAATAAATCCATTTGAATATAATTTCTGACATGGACACTGAATTAAATATAGCCTACTGTCTAAGAGCAAAATGGAGCTGGAAGATGTTAAATAAAATCTGTGAGAAGTTGCACCGCTTACTCAAATGGTGTGAAATCAAAACGCAGTAAAATCCTAAATAAAAAAAAATGTCAGGTTTACTTGAGGCTTGGGCGTCTGATTGAAGTTAATCAGTCGGGTTGCATCTGGCTCGGACACAGTGCCTATGGACTTGGTTGGGTTGTGTTGGATTATTTATTTATTTTTGGGCTGATCTAAACTTTAGCACAGATTTTTCTTCCAGATGCAGACCAGGTGAAGCGCTCATAATTTAAGTTTAGTCACTTGATTTCACTGTTCTGTAAGTGGCGAGATACAGTTGATTGATTGTGTGATAGAGTCGTTCAAAATGACGGAAAACAAAAAAAGTCTAACATGACCTCTGTGCTGTACACCTGTCAGTTTTAGTCACCTTTTGCAAGATGCAATGTTAGAAGTGTTGAAATTGCTGAAGAGGAAGTACTATGTAATATTTATTTAGCTTTACATCATGTCATAATGTTTGTCCCCTCATTAAAAATAACACCTGTAGTGTCACCTTTATTCTTTCGTGCATGTTACAGAAATCCTT